ACAAACCCCAAATTAAGCTCAGATTGAAGGCAGTAGGAGGATGTCATACCTGATGGATAGAGGGGGAACCAGAATCTTCACTGAAATGTCATTACAAAAAGAGGAAGAATTAAATTTCATGAGCAGGTTGGTTATGTACTCTGGCAGTTATAAACTGCACATTCTTTGTTCAGTAACCTTTTGTGCTTGTGTCTGTAAGTGCTACATGATAAAAAGAGTTATAATCTGAAAAGGTAACATTTTTTCTTGAGTACAGTTGAGTGCACACAATAGCAGGAGGCCAAAAGCAATAATTTGAGGCATTTGTACTTTATGCAGAAGCTATTCCAGCTTCCCTACATAGTGCTAATTATCTCAGTGTTGCTACTATTGCATCCCAGTTCTGATTTTCAACAGCGTTGCCTGTTCAGTCCTTCTGTATCCTATTTTTAAAGAAACTGCAGATCACACTAGTAATACCAGACTGTGGGGTGGCTTTGAAGTATGGGAAGATATGGGTGAGACCATTGTGTTCATGTCACTCATGATCTAATCCAGGAGCTGGAACCAAGCTGTGTCTCAACCAAAAATATCTTCTACTTTTGACAAGGATGTTTAATATGAATTTGATAACTTGATAACCTAGCCTTTATAATTTAAAAATCCTATTTAATAGCTGTTGTGCCTAATGGTTAAAATACTGAAAGTGCCCCATTGCTGGGGAGACAGCACCCTCACCTGCAGGAGGTTGGATAGACAGTGATAATTATGCTTGCCAGAATCATTACCAGCCTGTTCTTTGTTGGGAAAGCATAGGAGAGGAGAGATGTGAAGCTGCCAGTAAAAGGCAAGTAAGGGTGAGGTTAAAATCAGGGTGGAGAGAGCAGTTTGGAATGCTTGTGGCTTCCAGTAGCCACACAAATGGAGCAGCATTACAGAGCAAAGGGTTGGTAACCAAAACAAAACAAGTACAGTAAGGCTAATTTTAAACCCACCATTCTTGACAACATCCCTGGAAATACAACTATATGTCAGCAATCCGTCACTGATTAAAAAAACTGGGCCAGTCCCCAGCTGTGGCTGAAGCATATTCAGAACATTGGGAAATGGATTGAAAGATGAGGTGCAGTTGAGGAAGGGGGTAACAAATTGGCACTGTTGAAATCTGTAAGTAGCACAGACTTTCTTCTTTTCAAATCTGAAGAACATGTGTCTCTTGCATGACTAAAGCACATTTTGAGTACTGACTGAACATTCTGCTAGCTTCAACTACTACGCAGAACTGAAAATGATCCTTGCTTTAAAAGACACACAGTAGTAGGTCACACTGGTATGTGGTGCCACTCTATTAAAGTTGAATGTTCAACTGACTTAATCAAACAGGCTCTAAATATGATTTTTTGTTTGTATGTTTGATTTGGAGATGGACATGTTTGTGAAAGCTGCCATTCCCCAGTGACCTGCTGACTTCTGTCACTACAGGCTATACACACCTCTTCATGTGCAGGGAGGCCCCTCTGATGCTCTGTAATTACAGCATGTTGGAGCAGACTTTATTAATCAAGTCTGCTGGAGTGTGGTAATTACTGTGCTCCAGCAGACTGCAGTGTCACCAGTACCATGGCAAGGAAGTTTTGTGCCTGGGGAAAAGCCCGCAGCGACAGTCCACCCTCACCCTGTGCACAGATCCAGGGGGCGCATACTCCTCCATGCTTCCCCAGGTGTACACACAGCAGCAGGAGTCACCCTACCCTTATCCGTGTGCCCCCTCCAACCCATGAGTCGCTTGCGGCTCCATCCCATTCCCCGCCCCAGCTGGGCAATGCCTGTTGGCACCCCTTTGCGTCTGTACCTGGGGCGGTTGTCCCTCTCACCCCCTTCCCCCACCCCTTGCTATTGCACTGAGCGTCACATGTATCAGCATCCCTGTGCTGAAAAATGGCGGCAGGGTGCTTTAAACGAAAGCCAGTTTGATTAGCTTTAGTTCAAAGCATCCTGCCACCATTTTTAAGTGTGGGGACCCTGATACACGTGATGCTCTGGGCACTTTTAAATTAACGTGGCTCTCTGAGCTCTGCTAATTAAAGCGTGCCCCCTCCCCCTACCAAGCATGTCTCCTAAACACCCTATGTTTCTGTTTCCACCTGCACTGAAAAATCTGCGTAGTCCTGTGGCCTTGTTTCAAATGGTTTACAATCTTTTTAAAGCCAGTGTCTCATATTTCTCTTCTTTTCTGTTATTTTTTTCTTTTATTATTTATTTTGTGAGCAAATATGTGTTCATGTAGTCCCTGATGCTTGGTTGCCAATGTTAGAAAATTCTGGACTCTGCCCTCCTAGAGTAATAGTTTAAATAAATTAAGTCTTTTAAAGTGCTTTCCTTTGGAGTGACACTAATCAGCAGTCTATCGTGTCCTTTCTGAACTTAGCTAAACTATCTGAAATTTAAACGAAAGCCAGTTTGATTAGCTTTAGTTCAAAGCATCCTGCCACCATTTTTAAGTGTGGGGACCCTGATACACGTGATGCTCTGGGCACTTTTAAATTAACGTGGCTCTCTGAGCTCTGCTAATTAAAGCGTGCCCCCTCCCCCTACCAAGCATGTCTCCTAAACACCCTATGTTTCTGTTTCCACCTGCACTGAAAAATCTGCGTAGTCCTGTGGCCTTGTTTCAAATGGTTTACAATCTTTTTAAAGCCAGTGTCTCATATTTCTCTTCTTTTCTGTTATTTTTTTCTTTTATTATTTATTTTGTGAGCAAATATGTGTTCATGTAGTCCCTGATGCTTGGTTGCCAATGTTAGAAAATTCTGGACTCTGCCCTCCTAGAGTAATAGTTTAAATAAATTAAGTCTTTTAAAGTGCTTTCCTTTGGAGTGACACTAATCAGCAGTCTATCGTGTCCTTTCTGAACTTAGCTAAACTATCTGAAAAAAATAATTAAAAAACTTTCTGGAAAACAGCCTAATATGAACTTAATTAGTGTATCCTGGGCTAAATGCATTCAGAGGCCAATGTTTTAATAGAAAATAAATTTTAAGGTTACAGTTAATTTTTGCAAAATATATGGTTATTGCCAAGTTTACCAGAAGCCAAGAGAGGGGGATTTGGGAAGGCAGGAGGAACAGAACAAGCTAGCAAGTGAGTGAGTGGCTCAATGAGAAAGATGTTCTTCTGGTAGAGAAGTAGGCCCTGGATTTTAGATTGATATTTGCTTCCAATAGGGCAGAAATTTCCCCACTGCTCACTATCCGTCTTAGCCAGTGATGATTAAATACAAAGTGTGGTGGTTCAACTTTAAAAGATCTGAAGAATGGAGCAATGCCTAACCTGTAGGGTGACCATATGTCCCATTTTGCTGGGACAGTCCCATTTTAAACAACTTTCCTGTTGCTTTGTTCAAATGAATGATTTTGTCCCATTTTTAGAAACCTGTCAGATTTTGGAAGCAAATTCAGATGTATATTTGAAGCAATTCAAATCCTGCTCACATTTGAATTACTTCAAAAACTGAACAATTCACTATTAGAAAGATATCTGCACCCCTCACACCTTCCCTCCTGTGCTAGAACACTTAAAAATGCCAAAATGGTGTGACAATATAGGGGTCTCCAACTGAGAAGCATGATGGGGGCATCTTGAAGTATTCTGTTCCCCATCGCTCCTCCCCACATGCTTCAGGAAATGTGGTCACCCTTTTTGCCTCTGGCCTGATGATTAGAATACTGTTCTGGGAAATCAATGAGACACAGGTTCAAACCCTCTTTGCGGGGGGAGGGGATAGAAGCCAAGTATCCTTCTTCCTGAACAAATGTCCTAACCAGACTGGGACTAAAACATTGGAGGGCATCATCTTTTTTTCCCCAGGACTTATGCATGGCCATCTATACTGTGCAGGCTCAGTCTATATGTACACACTTATGTATCTACCGTGAAGGGGGCCATTGAATCATAAGTTACAAAAATGTAATGTGGGTAGACAACTGCCATTTAGGTGCCCAAAGGAAACTAGACTTCGGCTTTAATTCTTCTCTCTTCCTTCAAACAACTTCTCATGCTGATACTGAAAGCTAAGTGGAATGAGGTGTCATGGGGTGAGACTGGTTTGATCAAGAGTGGATCAGATTCTATGTTAATTGCTATCAAATGCTTTCAGAGTGCTGAGAGCAGTAACTGATCAGATTGAAGGTATTTCCTTATTTCTCACTTGAGAAATAGTCATTATGCAAACCAGATCCTCTTATCCAATCAGAATGGAAATATTTGCATAATGACAGCTGTGAGACACCCCTGCTTTCTGACTGGCAGAAAGAATGTAATTTAAGTGTAATTAGTAACAGCCTGAGGAACTCCTCGATGTAATTGTAGTAATTTTTCGATGTGATTTGAGGATTAATTGAAAAAGAAAAAAACAGCAAAGCATATTGCTGACTTGACAAAAACTGTCACTTGAATTAACCTGGGTTTGAATTTGCACTGAAAATATTATAAAAGCAGCTGACATTTTCTTTAAAAAAATCTCTATCTAAATTTAGAAAATTCTGTGCCAAGACTTACAGGGAATGTTACACAGACAGTGTGAATGTCCATAAATAACCCTGACTATCATCCTTGGTAACAATACATAACAGAGCCTGTATTCTTGGGAATGTAGACCCCTCCCAACCAGCTGTTTTCTTCTCAGATGTCAGGACATCATTTTTAAAGGGAAATTCCCCTTAGTGACCCCATATGATTTAGCTTTTAAATATTTAAGTGCATACATTTTTGTTCCATTTTTCGTGTCATTCTTAATACAAATCTGATTCCTCCCACCTTTGGATAACAGAATGTAACTGTGTGAAACTAGACTTTATTGATTAAAAGGTAACTTTGAGTCACAAAGGAGCTGTGCCAGTTGGCAACAGCTCTAGTTCAG